TATCAAAATTACTCTGAAAATGCAGTTTTGTTTAATTTATAAGCCGAGTGAATCACTGAAAATTGACTTTCTATGTGTATTTCGAATGGGTTAATCTTTATCAAAATATATAACACTTGAGATTGGCTTAGAGTGTTCTTAGATATTTTGCCAGAGTAATTAAATTACTCTAAAAATGTGGTTTTCTTTTATTATATTTGGCAGTTAATATACTTTTAGCATTTGTCGTATTTTATACATTAGACATTGTTATATTATATTGTATCATATTATTATCATATAATATGTTAATGCAAATTCAAAATTGATCGTTACCACCATATACTTCAGCCATTGGAAACATGTATATCTTTTTTTACTTAAACGCGATTTTTATTTAAAACGATATTGACTTATTAATATAGTTCTCTAATATCAACATGTTTGATTGGATCTTAAAAATAGAGTAAATAATTACAGATCGAGAACAAATTTATTTTCTCAATTAAAAATAGCATAAAGAAATATAGATTCAAATAGTACCACAGAGTTAAGCCATTCTATTGTGAACGCTTATGGGGTTTCGGTAGTTGGATTAGAAACATTTTTCACTCACAATTTAGATTCAAGTCAAATTGTCTACTTGCGCTAATTATCTGTATACAAAAAATTAAACATAGTTTTAAGTTAAATCTCAATAAGTTGCTTTTAAGTCATGAACTTTGATCACTTAATTCATACTAATTTAATTTTAAGACTTAAGTTACGACTGCGAAATCGACTTATAACGTTCGCAAACTGTGAACATGCTCATAATTCTGAAGTACTTAGTAAAATAGCTGGCAAAGAGAACAAAGGTATAGTAGAGAAAGCAGGCTCTCAGAGTTACATCAAAACTTTGCAAATTTTAATTTATTTAATTTATTTATAGTTTCTGTGGTATCCAATTTTTGTTAACAACCATAATTCTACTAGAAATCCAAAAATATTCATACATCAGTTACTTAATAAATTTACAATAGTATCAGAAGCCATTCATATATACTCAAGAACTATACGCTATACCTATAGTACATCTTTCTATAGTACTATCTATGCTACACTAAAGTTTACTTTTGATTTTCCACCTAATTAAGACCTAATATTATATGCAAAGTAAAGCTAAAATAATCTCAGCGGGAAAGTATGATATTTCAATTTGCTTCACTTAAAATTTTGAATAGTTGTGAGTATCTCACGAAGTTTATAAACCTGACGGAGTATCTGTAGCGAAACCGCAAAGCTGAAGCGTGCGTTTAGTTTGAGTTCAGCTTTCAGTCAATGGCTTGGCTTGGCTTGGCTTTTATGCGCAAAATTGAACAAATAATTTTGTTGATTTCGTTAAAGTAGAGAAAATTAACTCGGTTATGACATTTTAAATCAAATTAGAAAAATTAAAATTAAATGACATGAAAAAATAAACTAAAACCATTAAACTGAAGATTGAATAATAAATAATGAATGGAATGAATAAAGCGGTACGTAATGGAAGCATGAATTTCATTAGTCGGAGATGTTGCGCATGAAAGCGAAAATTGTCTGAAATCGGGTTAAATTCATTTAATCAAATGCAATGTTATGCAATGCTAAGCATTCGCAAATGGAAACCGAAAATAAGCAGACGAAATCTGCGGAAGATGGTAAGTATTCGGTTTAATTATATAAGATGAAATTAAAACGGTTTAACAAATCATTTTGTATATTAGTTTTCATTGTGCTGGTTTAATCAGGAACCTCAAAAACCGCGGAAAGCACTTACATTTTATAACTATTACTTATATTTAATTATGCTCTCATACAGGAGGGGTAATGAAAAGCAACTGAACCCTTTCAGTATTATATACATCATATATAAAAATCTGATTAATTTTGATGCATTTGCAATGATCCTCATCATGACGACTTAAGGTACATAACCTTACATAAAAAAGATTGTGAAGATAATGACAATCTTCACAATTTAAGCATTAGTAGTAGCATTTTGCTCATCTACTGATTAAATATCAACCATTTGCAATACAATTTCAACATATATTTAATGCCATCTAAATTTTGTATAAGATATATTGTATATAGACATCTATATAGACATGTATTAGGTATATGTATATAAATATATATTCTTCCCTGCTCTTTCTGACATTTATTAAAACTTTCTTACTTATTTCTAATCAATATAGAGTCTTGCAGATAAGCTATAGAACCAAAGACTTGATCCTTTACCTTCAAATTGATTATGCTTATAATGAATATAGTCAATTTACTTAAGGCATATATATATTTTTGCATGTAACAATATATTTTTAATACATAAAGTAGATAATGCAACAAAACTGATTCTCGAGATATACATTTAAACCTGAGACCTAGCATCATAAAAGCTACTTTAGCTAGATTTTAAAATGTAGATGCATATAAAAGAACAAAACATTTCTTTTTGATGCTAAAATATAATTATGATTTACATTTTCTTTTATTATCTATTAAGAAATTATTAAAGTTCTGAATAATATCAAAATATTTTTGATGATTACATTCCCAGCAATAAATAGTACTGATGTCTTACGAGTATAATATAAAAATCGAATATAAAATCGGTGGAATAACCATTTTTATCATTTTGCTTTAATAGAAAATGGTTAAAGTAATTGAGCAGCAAAGGGCAAGGTTGGAAACTAATTTCGCGACTCAAAAAAAAAATCGATCTCAATGCTAATGACAGCAGCTCTGTTACCAACATAGGCTTCTTTAGGCCAATCACCTACTGCAGCCGAATATTCAAAATATTAACAGTTTAAATAGAAATATAAACCGGACTGAATCTAAACCGGAATCCTCAAGGCAATAGGAGCCTCATACCACCTGGAGAAAAACAATCCGGTATGAAACTAATATCTCATTAAACGAATTAAGATATTTAGCATTAAACAGAAATACCTGGCGATTCTACGTAAATAGTCTATATTTCTTATGGAATACGTCTGTATAATAATAACGTAAAATATAATATTTTAAGGAACTAAGATTTGCTATAGAATACAAATTGCTGACAAATAAATAGGTATATGCCTATTTTCCTAACATGAAAATGGTATTATGCTAGAGTAAGTTGTACAGTACTTGGAGATGTGTGCGTCATTATTTAAAAATCTGGTTTTATTTATTTAAATCGCGAGCTGAAGTTTATAAAAAATAAAAGAAAAACATTTGAAAGAACTTTTTAAGATTTTATTATTTTGCTTTTTATTTAAAATCATATTTTTTTCTTCTCCATAAACTTTATTCTATTAAACAAAATTATTGTTAGTTATGTATATATGTTTATGCTATTTAAAAGCACTTTTTTATTAATATGAAAAGAATCTGCGTATATAAATCCACAGTAAAGAGAGTTTATAAACTGAATTAACATTGTTTAATATAATATAGACTTATAAGTTCAAGTCCATTTTTTCTTCTCCAGAGTTTTGAATTATTTCCTATTTAAGCCAAAGGGAGGCTTAATATAATATATATTGAAAGTATAAAAATAGTTTTTTGAAGAACTTAAACTAGTTCATCAGGGTTTAATATTTTTTCCGCATACGAATATACGTACATATATATTATATGTATAAAACTCACGCCATCAAAGAAGAATATACTACTCTTTTTTAATTCCTTAATTAGAGGTATTTTTTTTATTCATACAAGATTTTTTTGCTAATATAACAGTCAAGTTTTGCATTTGAGAAAAATCAAATTCTTATTGCCAAATTTTAAAATTTTTAAATAGCAACACTAACCTTTTATCTAACATCTAACCTTTTTAATAAACATATATTTAACAGCCATAAAGCATGCTATTAGCAATTAGTATGACTTTTACGGGTGGTGCTTATTACCAGGACTTCGATCCGGAACCAAACCGAAAATACCGACATTTTTGTCGGAATGAAAACCAGCACTGAACCGATATATTATTATGTTTTGACCCGGAATGAAAACCAGAACGGAAAAAATTCAGGACTTCGGATCAGAACTGAACATAAAACCGAAAAAAAACCGACATTGTTATGAGAGCGTAAACTGGAATGGAATTAATAATTTTTTTTATTTTGAATCGGAACGAAAACCGAAAAGGAAAGAATTCCGTTTTGAAGCCCAAGACATCATAAAGACATCATCTTTATAACTGGCAGAAAATCGTATTCTTTAGATATTGTAGATGTAAGGAAAGAAATGTCTTTTTCATGCTAAAAAAATTGGGGTGTATATTCTTTTTAATTTTTCAAAAACAAATTTTTAACATTTTTGAATAGTTTTTGAATATTTTTGAATAATTTTGAATATTTTCGATTATTTTATTCACACTAGTATGAAGAGAGTACTTATGTCTTGTTCATCAAATATTTGATTTACTCGCATTGTTATAATTATTAATTTTTTTTCAATATTTATACTAAATATTATTTAAATAATAGCTAAATTAGCATGAGCAAAATTTGTTTATAACAAAAGTAAATAAATAAACAACTTAAATAAAAACTGAATAAGGTAAACTATGCTCTATACTTTGAATAAATGTTTATAAAAAAAACTACAGTTTACATAAATGAAAACACTGTCAATATTTATCTGTGCAGTTTGTTATTGAGACGGATACGCCGACACAGCAACGGACTGCAGAAAGACACCCAATCATTCCGGTAATTGTTGTAAATGTAAACAAAAATGTATTTTTAAGTAGATAATTGGTTGGAAGAGTAAAAGCAAATGTATGTCAACTATGTTAACAAATGACACCTTTTGAAGTTGAGTTTTATTGACAATACCAGCACGGCATTGTCGGAGTAATTGGACTCATTTCGAACAACGATTTCCTTTTAGAGTGTTACATAATTTAAAATACAATAACAAAAACAACAATAAGCAAAACAGCAATAAGTGGAACACCAACACCAACACCAACAACAACAACAACAATTACAAGTGCAACTCACCTATCATCAGCAGTGCTGCAGTCAAGTGCGAACTTGGTGGACCAGCTAAGCCAGTGGCACCAAGCGCTGCACCACCCAAAGCACAAGCAACGCCGCCCAATGCAACCACAGCAATTAAAGCGCGTAACGGTGGTCCTGCGAACCACTGACCGCAACAGCCTTTGCCGGAACGCTCGGAAGGTGACCTGAAATTAAACAGAGAAAAAAAATTAATGTTAAAAACTTTTTTAAAATAAGTGCTAAAGTTGCTGTTTTTACTTATGCATTAAGCATTTTTGATAAGAGGTTTTTTGCACTTTAAATACAAAATTAAATACAAAAGGCAGTGAAAATTTATTTTCTCCATTGCAACACACGAGCACAACAGTTAATGGGTAAATAGACGCCTGAATACTTTTACTCGCACTGTTGTGTTGCCTCTGACCCAATTGCTCCACTCGTTGCGACTTTGAACTCATTCTTGGCACTTGCATGTCCTTTGACCACATCCGAGTGCTCCACTCATTACCAAGCAGCTTAACTATACATTTACTATTTATTTTGCTCTTGAATACTTTTCACTACTAAACTGCATTTTTCATGTTTTTCATGTTTTTCCGTTTTCTGTTTTTTGATTGCTACAAAGATGTATAATATATTATTAAGCTATGTTCTAAAAACTTGAGAAGTCCTTGAAATTGTACGGAGAAGTTTAAATTTAATAAAATATTAAAAAAAAAAAGTTTATTAGTTTACATTTGCACGATGGAAAAATATTGTAGATTTTATTTTAGCACGTAAAGGTTAATTATTTAAAAAAACTATTTATAAAAAAAATTAAAAAAAATAATTACGACCGCTGAGTAAAGCTAAAACTTTATTCAAATTTAAATAAAATATATTTAATACGCATACATTATACATATACATAAATGTACATATACATACATACATACAGATATATATACATATATATATATTTTTTTTGGGCAAATTGCGAAAAAGTGTTTAACGTTTTCCGTTTCCTGTTTATTACATAGGCTGCAAACAGATAGTGCACCACTTACGTAGGGTAAATAATTGAGTTTTCGCAATTTGCCCAATTTTAAAGGAAATAAGATACAAGTATTTTGGGAAAACGACTTTGAGCCAAACAGAATTGCACGGTATCCTTAATGGAATGAACTGGCTAAATTTATGCGTGTATCTTAATCAAGCGATAAAATATAGGCAACAAATTATAGATGAGATCTTTTAACCGCACTTATGTATGCACACCTACAATATATACTAATTATAACATCAAACTCACTACAAGATTAGAGGGATTAGCAGAGTAGGCAATCGCTAGGTAAAGCTGACGACATTAGTCATAGCTTTAGGTAAATAATGTATAAAGTATGGATAATGATTGTATGTTTTTAAATTATTCATAAAGAAGTAACTAACTAACTAACTATATATATATATATATATATATACAGTAATAGGTCTCAATTTAATTTTATATTAATTCGATATACTCCTATCATCAAACTATAGAACGACTTTGTTTGACTGCATACTAGTTATATACTACTAGTTTTATACTACTAGTTGTATACTACTACTTACATACTACTAGTTATCTACTACTAGTTACATACTACTAGTTACATACTACTAGTTATATACTACTACTTATATACTATTAGTTATATATTACTATTTATATACTACTAGTTATATACTACAGAGGTGTGTCCGGAAAGAAGTAGCAAGAGATTAAGGAATAAATCTCCGTTTTCATAATATACCTAAACTACTGATAATTCATTGCGAGCATAACAGTTTTATTATTATAGTAGTTAATAATATGGACCTCTTAAAACCCAATATTTCACGTTTTTATTACGTGAACAACAAAATATTTAACTACATTCTCCAATGGTAAAAGAATGAGCCTTTGAAGAAATGCTCTTTTATAATGGGAAAAGAGTCATACAAAAGATTGACCAATTCTTCTACAATCGGAACGGTTTTTGATCTTATGATCTACACTTTTAATCAAATTTCCTTTTTTAAGATTAAAACTTATTTCTCGGAAAAATTTTTTGAAATCTTTTTGTGGTATATACAGACTCAGGGGGTTTCAAGAATTTGCGTTTCAAACTAATTTTTAAATGGCCATATCTCGGATTTTGTAAATTTAAGATACCTAAGATTTTCTTGTATTCTAAAAATAATATAATGAACCCTTTGTATAAACATATAAGCATAAAGTTAATTAGCAATATAAACAATTAAACAGTTAAAGTTGTTTTTGTTTAGTTACTAATATAAACCATTCATTTCTTTGTTTTTTAAATATATATCGACTATCGACTATTTTAATATCTTTTTTATGGTTTATAATTATATTAATTAATTTTAAATTATAAAGATATAACTATATCAAAAATAAAATATAATTTATTTAATCTTTGATTTAGCAATAAATATTTATTGGAATCCTAAAGCTTTTAGAATAACATTATTCTTTTTTATGTTAAACAGTACGTTTTATATATAAGATCTAAATTTCTAATAAATAAAATTTTAGGAAAGGTACCGCACAAATATTATGTTTTTATTTCTTATTCATATCACTTTTAAAATCATTACCGAAATACCCTAAACTGTGCAGAATCACACTTAGACATCTAGAGACTAGATTTATTCGCTCTTATAATGTATGAAATAAACAAAACCGGTTTAGTGTTATCTTTAATGACTGCGATTAGCACAATAGACCACCTGAGTCGTAGAGTAATGTGTTCTTTACTTTATTAAAACATTTTTATTAATTTAATTAAAATTTTTGTACATAAAATAATTAATATATACTTCCATATTTAATAAAAAATTACTATGTTTTGATACATTCTGAAAGCAGCAGAATATACCATTGATTAAAAAAGTTTTTATAATATCAAACATCTGCTCAGCTGATTAAAAAAGTGCCACTGCAACTAATATCGGTAGAAAATATATATAAAAGAATAAAACTGAACACACGAACATTTTTAAAATCCCAAACAACACACCTTGACATTGAGTCATGCTAGGACTCATATTATAGAAAAATGATCACCTTTTATACAATTCGTGCTGTGCTAGAAGGATTTTTTTTAATTTTTTTGATTTTATCCAGCAGGTACAGGATAATAGGAATAAAAAGCAACAACAATACCCGACAGATGAAGAACTTCTTTATTTACTTCAGTCACATGCCAGATGTTGTGGAAACAATTATGCTTCTATGATTTTTCTAAGCAAATAACGCTTGTTTTCTTGGCCAGAATAGTACGTGTAAAGCAGAAGGAGCAGAACGCAAAGGTGCAGACATTGTTTTGTGAATTTAAAAATGAATTTTGGTACAATAAATCAAAGGAACAAATAAATAAAAGGCGAGTCCCATAGTGAATACAGTTGCTAAGGCAATCGCCATAGACACCGAGTTGAGCAGATGTCTGGAAACTCAGTGGAGGCAAAGTGCAAAGCAGGTTATGGTAACGCACTTTGAAAGTATCATAACATTTTTAGCACCACTACTTTGCGTATGTATGTTTGTGTGTACATATATGGTAACATTCTTAAGGATATAATTTTTTTCTTACTGGTATGTATATTCGCATAGTGCGTCTAGGGAAATTTATGTGACACAGCAACCGGAAAGAGCCCCAACATAAATGCTAACCACGAAAATTTCATGATTAATGTCTCCACTAAAAACGTGCGACAATAGAGAAAATATGTTCGCACATACATAAACCGTGGCAGTTGGCTGGGGCGACTGCGTCTACAATAGACGAAAAATGGGCAAAATTTTGAATTTACGACTACGCGTGGGTATTTTGTGCTGAAATTTATAAATTAATTCCAAAATCGGACAACAAAGGACAAACAATTAGCAAAGAGCACAAGTCACAGACTCTATAGTCATTTATTATGTAAATTTTATACAAAACAAACTCTTTTAAATCTATTTGTTCTGTCATTTCCCTACTCCCTACTCTCCATATCCCCTCGCACAATGTAGCAGCTGTGCCTGAACGTTGAACCACTTTTTCACTTTGATAAATTGATAATAAAATTTTTCTACTGCATATAAATTCCTCTTAAGTTTGATACATTTTTGCTTGTCATGTTGACAATTTTGGCATGAATTCCTAACCATTTAACAACAGTTGAAGGATGATATATTATATCAAACAAATATTTGTTGACAATGAGCAACAGCAATAAATACCATGAGATGCTACGGCCATGGATAAAAGATTATAAATGCGAAAATTATGTCTCAGTAATATTATGATTAAGTATTTTGTTTCAGAAATGAATTTTCTTAATCCGGGAAGTAAATAAAGTTTAAATAAACTTTACCAAATGCTGTGTGAATATTGTATCTTCAATTTTAAAGGCAAAGAGTTGAATAAAACAAAATTATATTAAAACTTTCTGAACCAAAATGTTTTCAATCCCACACAAAATTTTACTTAATTGAAACGAATATATGTGATTGAAAGTACAGCAGTAGATATGTGGAGTGGAAAAATAAACGAATCCTCATCAATTACTCAAGAAAGCCGTTTTGATTTCATATTCCATGTAATTGTCAGTAAAAGAATATGCATTAGAATGAGTGTTTGTTAAAAATATCACTGAGTGAACTCAAGAATGGGGTCCCCATTCTTTAACAGTTGCTTGGGTGTCTGCACTTCGAAAGCCAGTACAAATACACTACAGGAAATTCGAAAGGCAGGTCGAATCTGGCTTCATGTCGTGCTATAGTCTAGTGTCCCGTTAGGATGGATATTAACCTAGATACTTTCTATTTACTACTGTGTACTAAGTTGGATGTTCATTTGGAACATTTGGAATATAAGGACCATGAAGTATCCTCACAATTTCTATTTCACTGTCACAAAAAATGGTCGTGAATCAACTTTCGTTTGTGGTTTGCAGAAGCAGAGGTTAAATCAGCAGATTTTGTAGAAGAGGTGCCAAATTTAACTAGCATGTTTATTGGTATATGCGTATTATACCAACAGTCTTATTCCTGCCAACAGTCTGTAATTAATAATATCGTTATACTAAAGCATAGGGATCCGTGAATCAATCTTTGGCTAAACTCCAAGAACATCTCTCACTGCAATTCAAAGTATCAAATACATTTTGTTTGCACTGCAGTAGACCCTCGTTTATAGAACTCGTTAGTGATATTTTAGAGATATATTTCTTTATTTGTTATTATTATTTTTACTATTATTGTTATATTACTTATGATAATAATTTTATATATTGTTTATAAAAAATTTAACAAAATTAAATAATTACTTTTTTACATTAAAGTGAGACGAATTTTTCTATTGCG